AATGAACATTGTGGAGGAGCCCTGGTAATGCAGGAGCTGTGGGTGGTGTGGTGTGACTTAGAATGCTGTATTGCAGGCAAATTCTGCTCACAACCTGGAGTTCGATCCTGATGGGCTCAAAGTTGACTCAGCCTTCCATCCTTCTGAGGTCAGTTGGGGGCAATATGCTCACATTGTAAACCATGCAGAGTGTGCTATAAAGCACTGTGGGGCTGTATATAAATCTAAGCATTATTGCTATAGTGTTATCATAACCTGCAGGATTGGAAAGAATTAAAATTCAATTTAATTCAGAATTCTGTTTCCAAAAGTAAACAGCCATAACCCTCTGAAAGTTTATAGTAAATTTATAAAATGGCTCAGTCTAGCTCTCCTCTTAATTTACATTTCCCAAGCTGAAATGCCTCAAATCTCTTGGTATTCCATGTCCTGGAAGATGGAAACATAAAGATTCCATTTAACTACAGGAGCTAATTGACACAATAGTTATTTTCTATAAAGATGTCTACAATATTTACCAATTGTATCCTATTTTACCTTTAATATATACTGTATTACTATGTCCTTGAAAATTTTGATGACCTAGACAAGGCAAAATGATTCAGCAATGATCTGAACTATAAAAAGAATTGACCACTTTTATTATATCTGCATAGCTGATCTATGAATCATAGAATCTTGAATCTAGAATCTAGAACCATACTGGGAAACTAAATGTTTGGATTTCACCTACTGGCACTAAAAATTTTTGCAGGTGCCAGCAATGCATAATTTACTTAATTAAAGGAATACTGAATATTCTTTAAGTGTGTAAGTGTAAGTGAAGAGTTTCACTCTATGTGTTAACAGTGGATTGTGTTGGTAAGGAATTTTAAGAAATCAGATTAGCTTTTGTTTGCATACAGTACAATGAAATATTTTCTCAATAATCTTTGTAGCAGTCTCTCAGGCTCTGGCTTCAGCATACTAATGAATTTGAAATATAGCAATCCGTCTTCTATCTTTATCATACACTTTAAAGTATGATTGAAAACTAGCACATTACATATTAATTGAGACCTAAATTAATTCTTTTCTGCAAGATCTGATAACTTTTATAAAAATAGAATTGAGAGAGATTGGAAGCTGAATTCTGTGCAGAGTCTGTCAACACATGAATGCTTTTACAGATCCCATGTCAAGAATAGGTTATATATTAAACTCTAATCAAGCCTCCTTTTTAGATGTGTGCATTTATATCTGATCTCTGGTTAAAGTTTCCTTTACTCAACTGGAAGTGCTTAATTTTTTTCCCATAGCAATGAAATATTATCCCCATTTTTTGGTCCCTAATTGATTCAGTGCTGTTTTTTCACTCTGAACCTCACTTCATACAATATAAAATTCTTACATGAAAGCATCTGCCTAAAAATTTAGATCTTGGTGTATATATGTAAATTCATGATACCTACTGTCCCTGTCCTAATGTTTCCTCTACTTGTATCTATTTTATGTATTCAATTCATGCTTATAATTATATAAGTTACCTAATATGTTCTTGACAAATAAGTAAGTAAATAATAAAAAAAATAATATTCTCTTAACTATATATATTATTGTGTTTACACAGGATGGAATCTTTCTCAACTTTACTTATCCTACACAATGATTTTACAATTTTCTAAACACCAGTTTTACATTTTTTCAAGAACATTTGTTCACAGCCCTATGTTTCAGGGCCATGACTCTTCTCTGGAAAACTTTTTTCAGACCGTGTGACTCAGTTTCTAATGATATGAGTACTTTGTATCATAGCTACAAGGACACCCTCCTCCACCATTTTGATTTTTTCTTGGATAAAGTAGGGGGCAAAGTATCAGTCTACTATTTCAATCAGTGCATGTGATTAGTGATGCTTCTTTATGATCAATTGTCTGTTCAGGATTACCAGGAAAAAAATTATCTGCTTGAAAAAAGTTTTCTTTCCCTTTCTTTAATTTTTTTTTTTTTTGCACTAAGGACTTTAAAGTATGCTGTTCAGCCGGTATAGTTCTTGAACTTTCTCCCTTTTCTGTTCATCTTGGAGAATAACAATTGAGAGGATTACTTAAAGTGAACATACTGAAATGTAATTATCTTGTGAGAATCTTTCCCATATATAAAATAGTAAGTTGTCAAGGCATCAGATTTTTAAGCATCGCTACCAAGTCTCCTAGTTGGTTAGTAAGTCACAACAGCCTTTGGTGAAGTACTGTCATAGTTTAGAGATGATGGCAGACTTTAGGCAAGCAACTGTACAAAAGAAAATCCTCTTTGGCCCAAATTTTTCTCCTATGTTTGCTGGCTGGCTATTTGGGACAAACCCTTTATAGCTTTTTACTTCACACCCATAAATTGTAAACTCAAGCCATTTTGAAGCCTCTTCTGGTTCTCCTTACTCAGCTCTTTGTCTCATTCATCCACCGTTCTTTGGTTCCACACTGCCTCATTTCTTGTAGACTCCACATTGTATTCACTTCTCCAATTCATCTTTTTCTTCTATTTCCACTTCGGTCTTTATACAACATGCTTTTTTTTTGTATTTTATCTATATCTGCTGAGTTGATTCTCTCTGGTGTTCAAAGAAGACCTTCTTTTCTTCTCCTTCTCTTTTATGTTCTCCACTTTCTTTCCAATTTTGTTTCTCCTCACTGGTACATTTTTCCTCTATACAGTGCCTGCACATTTGCTCTCTCTTTCATTTCATTTATAACTTCATTTATACCAAAAACTCCTTGCTTTCTGAAAGGCTCTTTCATGCCAAAACATCTTTGCAATAAACTATTTTCACAGCACTTTTATTATGAGCTTGGACAAGGAAAATTGAGGGGCAGAGAAGAGAAAATAGTCCTGTCTTCAAACAGGAGTAAAAAGAGGATCCGGATAACAACCAACTGGTCAGCTTGTTGGGAAAGGGGCCATTTCTGGCCTCCGGAAGCCTTCTGGGGGGGTGGAGAAGGCCGTTTTTGCCCTCCCCAGACTCAGAGGCTCTGGAGCCAGGTGAGAGAGAAAAACAGGCCTTCCACCCCCCAGGCTCTCCGGAGGCAGGAAACAGCCTGTTTCCCTACTTCTGGTGGGCCCAGAAGGCCCAAAAATCGGCTGGCCGGCACACGCATGTGCCCCGGAGCTGAGCTCGTGTGCCCACTGATATGGCTACATGTGCCACCTGTGGCACGCATGCCATAGGTTCGCCATCACGGCCCTATACCATTCCAGACAAGTGACTATCCAGTCTCTTCTTAAAAGCCTCCAGTGATGGAGTACTCACAACTTCTAAAGGCAAGCTGTTCCTTGGTTAATTGTTCTCACTGTTAGGAAATTTCTCTGTAGTTCTAGTTAGCTTCTCTCTTTATTAGTTGCCATCAATTTTTTCTTGGCTTGCCTTCTGGTTTGGAAAATAGGTTGACCCCTTCTTCCTTGTGGGAGCCTCTCAAATATTGGAATACTGTTATCATGTCACTCTAGTCCTTCTTTTACTAGACTAGACATACCCAATTCCTGCAACCATTCTTCATATATTTTAGCTTTCAGCTTGCTCTTTTTTGCACTCTTTCCAGAATCTCAACATCTTTTTTATAATATGGTGACCAAAATGGATGCAGTATTCTAAATGTGATCTTATTAATGCTTTATGAAGTGGTACTAGTACTTCATGTGATCTTGATTCTATCCCTCTGTTAATGCAGCCTAGGATTGTATTGGCTTTTTTGGCTGCTGCCACACATTGCTAGCTCATATTTAAGTGACTGTCCACTAGGACTCTAAGATCCTTTTCACAGTTACTGCTATTGAGCCAGGTTTCATCTAATCTGTACCTATATATTTGGTTTTTCTTACCTAAGTGTAAAACCTTACATTTCTCACCACTGAATTTCATTTTGTTAGATAAGGACCAGTGTTCAAGTCTGTCGAGATCCATCTGGATTTTGAGCCTATCTTCTAGGGTGTTGATTATTCCTGCCAGTTTAGTGTTCCCTCATCTAAATCTTCCCTTTTTGTTCCCTCATCTAAATCGTTTATGAAGGTGTTGAAGAGTGCTGGGCCTAAAATGGAACCTTGGGATACCCCACTGCTTACTTCCCTTCACTGTAGATAAACTGGAGGTTTGATTCTAGCCTTTTCATATTTTCTTCCAGGGCGAACCAGTTAGCGTCTACTTGCAGCATTTGAATATGGCACAACCTCTGCAGGTCACAAGCATCATTCTACATGCATGTTATTCAGATTAGGAGAATAAAAGGAAAAGAGTTTTCCTATAGATGTCTAGTACCATCTTCCGTTTGTTCTCCCTGTATACTTACCAAGATGCTGTGGTTAGGGCAAGCAATAGATGTCTGTATATTGTATGATTACAGGGGCAGACTTACCACTCATTGAATCCACTTCTGTTCTCTATTTTCCATCAAAGGTCAAAAGGTAGCATTAAAAAAAAATTCTCAGCCATGATGGCATGTGATGTCTTCTTTTCCCTGAAATGCTAAGCTCTGATTTATATATCAAAGGCAATTGATTTATATGAAGACCATGAAGAATTTAAAATCAGAGACAAGGTGAGTTAGAGACAATGGCTCCACCTTGAAGGAATTGAAAAACACCCTGATTTTTCCAATTGTGCATTGGCTTCAGGATTTGTAGACTTAGAGCACAGCCCAAGAGAGCTGTAATGAAAAAGAATTCAGTGCTGTGAATTATTAAGAAAAAAATATGCAAAAATAAAACAGTTAATGTTCAGCTAAAAATAAAATGCAGGAAAGAGCATGGAATATCTTTTCTGCATACTGATCTTTTTTTTTAAAAAAGCATTTAGCCCTTGTCAATGTTTCTTAATCAACTTTTTCTCACTTATTCTTTAAAGTGGAGATATTGAACAGGGTCGTGCCTGAAGAGGCACTTCTGAATTAAATTGCTTAATTTTCTCTATGTCTGTATCGAGGAAAAAATTCTATAATCTTAATTCAATTATTTTGTTATTTTGTTTTTAGGTTAACAAAGCCATTATCCTTTGCAGACTGTGTCGGAGATGAGCTACCATGGGGATGGGAAGCTGCATACGATCGTCAGATTGGTGTCTACTATATCGACCACATAAACCGTAAGTGTTTTCTGTAAGTGCTGTATTGATTATATAAGAAGGCTTATCCAGATTAGACTCTGCTGTTAGACTCTTAACAAGGACTTGAAAACAGAAGATTTCTTATGAGACAGTTGAAACTCCCCACAGCAATTCACTTGGTTTATTTTCTTAGGAAAAACATTATAGCTTCTACTGCTGCTGCTTTTCCTCCTACTTCATTTTGTTAGTGCTGTTATATCCTATCAAGTGGATTTCAGAATTACTTAGAATTGTCTATTAACCTTAAACTTTCATGTTACCAATTAAAACATTATGTTTTCTGTTTGTGCAAGGAACTCCCCAGGTTTTGACAAAACATTCTAATTAATCCCGCAAATCTGCTTTTTCCTCAATGACAAAACTAGGAGATGTTGAAGAACCTTCTAAGAAATATATTCATACAAAATTGTGTTACAGTTATATCAAATTCCCTATGTTCTTGTTCTTTAGGCTTTTAGTATGATTATAGAGATGGTCAAAGTGGCACCAAACACATAACAAAGAAGTTGTTACAGCAATCTGAGCATGCAAATGCAAGTAGATAAATAGGTACCACTTTGGTAGGAAGGTAACAGTATTCCGTGCACCTCAGTTTATAGTCATGCTGTCAAAAGTATCTTTGGACAATATTGACTCCCTCGGCTAAGAAACAGAGATGAACATTGCTCCCTAGGACATGACTGGCAGGCGAAACCTTTACCTTTATCTTTATATTATTTTAAACTACTTTGAATACTCATCAGAATAAAAATTCAGGGAATAATTTGAATGAATAGATGAAAGAATTAACATAATTTCTTTTATCACCCAAAATAGACTAGAAATATTATATTATATAGTGAATAACAGCAATTTAATTATTTAAAGAAAACACCAGTATAAGAATGTGAGTTGTTAAAATATTTTAATGGAATTGATTCAAATAAATACTCAAAAGTTGACAAAAAATAGTTATATATTTCGGGTTACAGATTAAAAAGGACAGCAATAGACTAGCTGGGAGATATTGTTCTAGAATATTAGACTGACCCTAGAAATAAAACATTAAATGTAAAATCAAATGTTTTCAAGATCTTACACCACATTCTTAAAGCTTAGAAGATGAGCAAACAGTAGTAGTATGAATTACACATAGGTAAATAAAAAAGCTAGATTGGAATTTTTCTTTGAATTTTTCTTTGCTTTTGTTTTCATTGGATATAATAACCATTAGAACAGAATGCAAATATTTGTGGAGAATTATCTCCTCACCTACTGTGGGCTTTTGGGAAAAGAGGGACTTGAGCTTTTAGTAGATGTATTTTGAGGAGGGTGGTAGATTGGTGTGGTTTTTTTTCCGTTAAACTGGTTTTTCCTCATCCTTTCAGACTGAAGAATCAGATACTTAAAGCATTCTCAGTGATACATTAATCCATTTGATGTTGCAATTTGAGTGAATTTTTTATGGAGTGCAGTCACCATCGGTATGTTGGCTATAGGAGTGGTGCTCTGAAGAGAACACTCTTTGTTTGAGTTAGTGGAAGGTAAGCTGCCTGTGATAAGGGTCAGAGGCAGGTCACATGTCTTACATGCTAAAATTGAGATTATAGCTTTTAATTCACCTGACTGGAATGCAATAGTCTGATAATTATGAACTGCACTGCTCAAGAGTTTACGAAATGTTTCATTAAAGTTTAACTGTAGAAATAGTGATTTAAGGGAAAGTACCTTTTTACCTGTGTAATAATATATGTTTGCATTGGCAGTTACTGCTACAACTGTTAAGGATTGTACTGTTTCAACTCCAGAAATATTTCCCTCTTGTTTTTTTTAGTGTATGAATGACTTGCTTTTTAAAAGAAACCTCTTAATCTTCCCTAAGAAAATAATTCATACCAAACTTTTCTGTAGCCTACATTGTTTTGTGACAGCTTATGAACTTTAATATCATGGCTAAGATTGAAAGTTATGAAACATTATTTCAGTTATGATGTGTAAATTACAATTTCACTTTGTTTAACCACTATTTACTGAATAAACCATACAGCAATTAGTGGATTTGTTCAAAAGGTTAACGTTGGAAAAAATGTAGAAGTTGAATTAGTTTCTGTTCACCTAAGGATTCATTGGAAAATATCATTTGTTTATGCTTAAATTTTTACATGCATTATTAATGTTTCAGACTCACCCAAAATAGACTAGAAGTATTATATAATATGGTTTATGGCCAAATAAGCCACTTTTAACGTATGTTAAAACATGCTTAGCATGTATTGCTTCTTGAGGTTTCTTGAAAAACAGCTGTCTTGTTCCACATGTTCACATACTGTACATGTGAAAAATAGAAATAGCAATAGTTCTTATATACCATTTATAATGCTTATAAATAGCAATAGTGCTTATATAGTTTTTACAGCACTGTCTAAGCAGTTTACAGAGTCAACATATTGCCCTCAACAATCTGGGCCCCCAATTTACTAATCTTGGAACGATGTAAGGCTGAGTCTACCTTGAGCCCCATCAGGATCGAATTCCAGGCTGTGGACAGAGTTAGACTATATTGCATTTTAACCACTGTGCCACTACAGCTCATAAGATTCTACTGGAAGTAGGCAAATCTTAGCTTATGATCGTGGTATATAAATGGTGTTTTGTTCATTTGGATGTCTTCTCATCCAAATGAAAACACAGGTATTGAACTGTAAACACACATTTTATTTCTCTTCATCACATTGGTTATTTGTGTCCATTGTTATTCACTGCCCCTTCACAGGCTCCATTGAAGATTAAAAATAATAAATCAAATAGGCCATTTTTCACAAATAAGCTATTGTTAGCAAATCTATATATATAAAGCGAAAACCACTCACGCCGTAATCACGAAATCTCCAGAACCATAAAGCCTACAAACTTGAAATTTGCCACATATGTTCCTCTTGGCTTCTAGGTGCTCACTAAGACAGGATTTTTCAAAATGACCATCAGAGCATTAGTATTTCCTATATTATTATTAACACGCTCTGATGCTAAGGAGTTCTACTCCCTCTCCCTACTTGAAAAGAAATCTGTTCCAAATGCAAAACACAAGCAGAGAAGAGGAGTTTCACTTTCAGTTTTACTTTCACAGCAGGAAGCAGCTTTAAAACAGAACACTTGAGCTAAGGCACGGCCAGGCTCCTTCCGGTCTCCTCCTTGCTCACACAACAAATACTGTTTCACTTTCCAAACAGCCCTCTGATACTAAGGAGTTCTACTCCCCCTCCCCACCTGAAATGAAATCTGTTCCAAATGCAAAACACAAGCAGAGGAGAGAAGTTTCAGTTTTACTTTCACAACAGCAACCAGGGGATAGGATAGGATAGGGAAGGCTTCGGTGGGCAAGCCTGAGGGAGAGAAGGGGATAGATTAGGGGAGGGTTCTGTGGGGTAAGGTTTAGGGAGAGATGGGGATAGGGGACGGTTCTGTGGGGCAAGGCTGAGGGAGAGAAGGAGATAGGATAGGGGAGGCCTCTGTGCGGCAAGCCTGAGGGAGAGAAGGGGATAGGATAGGCTTCTATGGGGCAAGGCTGAGGGAGAGGAGGGGATAGGATAGGGGAGGCTTCTGTGGGGCAAGGCTGAGGGAGAGAAGGGGATAGGATAGGGGAGGCTTCTGTGGGGCAAGGCTGAGGGAGAGAAGGGGATAGGATAGGGGAGGTTTCTGTGGGGCAAGGCTGAGGGAGAGAAGGGGAGAGGAGAGACCAATCTGTAACTATTCATTAATTTTCAAGCTGTAAGTGTCAATTTATCAAGCCCGATCCAGGGGTAAAATGCTCCGGTTCGGACTGGATCGCCTGATCCGGTAGCAATGGCGCCGGGTGGTTTGGAAAACCGGTAGGAAACATCCCTGTCCCCCCCATGCCCCCCATGCCCCCCCATAATCATCAGAGGTTTTTTTAAAATTATTTTTAAAAACATTTTTTCTACAAGCTGAGTTATCTGATTGTCAGAGGCTTTTAAAAGCATATTTTTTTTACAACCTCTTCGGCCGAAGAGGTTGTAGAAACAATATTTTTTTTTTATTAAATTTGTATACTGCCCTACTCCCGAAGGACTCAGGGCAGTGAACAGCCATAAATAAAACATATAGATACAAAATTTAAAATAGAAATAAAACTAATTAAATAAATTTGGCTGAGACATTTTAAGACCCCAATAAATTAAAACCAAATTTAAAATTCCATTTAAAAAGAGGAAAAGTTTAGGTCAGGCCAGCTTGATGGAATAAAAACGTCTTAAGCGCGCGACGGAAGGTACGCAGATCCGGAATCCTCCGTATCTCCGAGGGGAGCTCGTTCCAGATCGTAGGTGCCCCCACAGAGAAGGCTCTCCCCCTGGGGGCCGCCAGTCGACATTGTTTGGCCGACGGCACCCGGAGGAGCCCCTCTCTATGGGAGCGTACTGGTCGGTGGGAGGCTATTGGTGGCAGCAGGCGGTCCCGTAAATAGCCAGGTCCTAAGCCATGGAGCGCTCTGAAGGTGATAACCAAGACCTTGAAGCGCACTCGGAAGACCACCGGGAGCCAGTGCAGCTCGCGCAGGAGAAGCGTTACATGGGAGCGCCACGTCGCTCCCATCACCACCCGCGCGGCCGCACTCTGCGCCAGTTGGAGCCTCCGAGTGCTCCTCAAGGGGAGCCCCATGTAGAGAGCGTTACAATAGTCCAAACGGGAGGTGACGAGGGCATGAGTGACCATGCGTAACGAGTCCTGATCCAGAAAGGGACACAACTGGCGAATCAGGCGGACCTGATGAAAAATCCTCCCGGTCACGGCCGTCAAGTGCTCTTCTAAAGACAGCCGTGAATCCAGGAGGACACCCAAGTTGTGAACCCTCTCCGTGGGGGCCAATGCTTCGCCCCCAATAGTCAGCGATGGCACCAGCTGACTATATCGGGACGTCGGAAACCACAGCCACTCAGTTTTGGATGCGTTGAGCCTGAGCCTGTTTCTCCCCATCCAGATCC